ATCTTTTACATATACTAGTAGGTAACAGAATAAAAGTCAATTGGGAAACCAATTATACACCTTAGTTTGCAGTGATCCTCTAGCTAATATCAGCTAGTTGTGTAACTTAAAGCCACTTAAATTACTGTAAGCGAACCAAAACATGAAAATTAATTTGACGCTTACAGGGATAAAGTTATCGGTAGTTCGAGTGAAAACATATTTTGATTGGACACTAGTAACTCGAGCGATGCGTCTACTCCTTTGTTTGATGCAAACTGAATTCTATCAGTCAGGTTTGAAGTGTAGCCAGCATTCTAGGTGGCTCATCATGACGATGAACCTTTAATCGTTGGTATTAGACAGTTGAAGGCAATCGACAGGAAGCCGAACCAGACCTGGGTTTCGTGCTAGTTGGCACTCACAAGTCAACAAGACGTATCTGCAAGCTTGGATATCTTAGTGGTAACGTCTCTGACTGACTGCAGCACTGAGTGAGGCGGGTTCAAATGTCAGAAAGGTGGACACGAGTTCCTTCAGGGTCACAGATACGCCTTGTTGACTGGTAAGTGCCAATTAGCATGAAACCTAGGTCTGGTTGGGCTTCCTGTCGTTTGCCTCCAATCATCTAATATCATCAGGGGAAAAGATGCCATTCATGGAAGCAAAAAATTTACATGTGAGGATATATGATCTTCAACCACACTTGCTGGTGGTTGCGCTATGTGTCGCACATTGGCATAGGTTAGAAGTCATCGGCTACTGTATTCTCTCTCATTGACTGAAAAGCTATCGAGTTCGATTTTTCTTACTTGAAGGCGTTGGGTTATCTGAATGGCAGTATCATGGGTCTGTACTTCTGAAGTGTCCCAAACAAGTGGGAAACAGCTATCCACTGATACATGGGTTTTCAGTGAATCTGACGCTCGGTGTTTCCAACAGGTCTTGAAGAGGACTTCCAATGATAAACGTTGCATTTAATATCAGCAATGCAGCTGTATAGTGAGGACTTTATTATTTCTTAATATTAAGCCAGATATTGTCACTGAAAAAAAACAGTTAGTTAAATATGCTCTATTACTACAGCCTAAGTAGTATGAAAAATTGATAACTAATTGCTTTTAATGATCAGAAGTTACCTCTGATGGTGGAATACTATTCATTAAAGTTATCATTTATTTTCTCAATGAAGGCTAAAAATGACTGCGTACAAATCATTTATCAATTTTTGTCAAAAAAAAAAACAACTCACTTTAATGCTTTACGACTAAAAGTGAAATTAAGATTTAAATTACATTATAATTATTATAGCTTGGCAGCCTACTTAGTAAGCTAGAAAGTTTAGTCACCAACAGAATCGTTAATTCGCTTCATTCCCCTTAAATGTTCACCAGCCATTTATGTGTGAATACTGTAAGCGTAACTCACATACATCTGAACTAAATTTTAAAATTCAAGTGTGATGTGGAACTAACTAAAGTTAGAGAACGTATAAAAATTAAGGAGTGCAGGACAACTATTTAGTCTTTCTTTGCAATCATCAGCAGAACGCACTCCTAATCCGATGACAGATGACATCCAAGTAATTTAAGTTAAAAGACGAATTCGTCGTCCATTCCATGGCATACATTCTCCTACTAAGTCTAACTTCTGGCCATTTTCACAGTATATAGTGCGTCCTCAGCTAAAGTCATAGACAAGTACCTATCCTTACTCCCAAATTGGTGGGAGTCGACGGTCAAAGCTCTCTATTAGAAATTCAGACAGGGAATAAAAAGACAGTTGCAGCGAAGAGAATTTTCTTTTCGACGAAGTCATCATCTAGGCTGTACATTCGTGTATTTATATCAAATGGATGAGAAAGTTCCAGAATAATTTCCGGTTAAGGGTCAAAATAATAAAAATTACAATTAGGAATTAGAATGCTCTTGTGGATTTGAGTACATCGGCCGTACCATGCGCCGACTTGAAAAACGCGCTCGTGAACGCTACCCAGCCTGGATAGTAAAATGAGAGCAAAAGCGTGCATACAGTTCAGTGACAGAACATCTGGTCAACTCAGGACATTCAGCGCCTTTCGAAAAGTCCTTCACAGTAATATACAAGATTCGAACAAACCTATCAAAGGGAGTGAAATCAAGATATCTGGGCATAGCTGAAGCGCTAGCTATCCATAGTCTCAAACCCACCCTTTGTATCCGGAAGAAATACGCCCAACCCCTGTCCCTGCCATGGCCATCATAAACAGGTAAAATTTTTTAATAATGACCACCCTATCGCCTTTCTTATCTAAACTTCCTGTTTATTCATGTTATTTTAAGTTTTTCTTAATCCCTGTCTACACTACCATATTTTCCTATCCACACTTACTGTTTATTTTGTCATTTTACTATTTCTACATATTCAATCCCTGATTGCATAAACAATTACTCATCACACTAGTTTTTTATCTAAACATCCTGTCTATTTTTGTTATTTCTACATTTCTCACCCCCAATTACATAATGTCAAACTTCTTAGTTATTATGCTACTTTGTTTGAGTTTTACCCATCCCCTGTTTATTATGGCATTCTAATTCCTAATTGTAATTTTTATTAATTTAACCCCTAACCAGAAATTATTCTGGAACTTTCCCATCCATTTGATATAAATACACGAATGTACAGCCTAGTTGACGGCGACTTCGTCGAAAAGAAAATTTTCTTCCTCGCTGCAACTGTCTTTTTATTCCCTATGATCAAATTCAGACAGCTTTATGATGAAGTCATTCAGACTTGAAGTCATTCAAATTCATGCAAACAAACACAAACATACTGAATGATAACGTGGAAACAAGTTGTCAGTGTTTATGGAGACTGGCATTGTGTTCCTATGAAGAGTTCAGAAAAATATTCTAAGCGGATTCATTTCAAATCTCTTCGCAATCACAATTTCCATTTTATCTTCAAATATCATTTTTCTTTCTTTGAGTTTCAAGTGGAACACAGGGTTTCATGTAGTCAGTTTAGAAGTTTCATTGGAGTTTGTGATGTTTTAGACAGTGGGATTGATATCCTCAAACTCACCTTTCTTGATTTTTCACAATTATTTCCTGCTTCAGGATAGCTTTGCAGGGCTCTGGCCACGAATCGAACCTGGATCATGTGCATGGTGGTCGAGCATTCCAACGCTCAACCATCTACACACAGTCAGTTATCCTGCAGAACATAAATACTGACCTGACAGTCTTTTGGTTATTCTAAACGGTCTTATGTTTATCGCATCATCTTAAAGAGACATACAGAGGAATCAAATAAAGAGAAAATTATGTTAGATGGTTGGAGGTAGTTGGCAGGAAGCCCAACCTGACTTAGGTTTCGTGCTTGTCCGCACTCCTCAGTCAGCAAGGAGTATCTGAATTTCGAATAGTTCAGTGGTAACGTCTCTAACTACAGCACTGGGTGACGCGAGTCAGAAGGGGGGACATGAGTTTCTTCAAGGTTGCAGATATACCTTGGTGACAAGTGCGAACTATCACGAAACCTGGGTTAGACTGGGCTTCCTGCCGATCGCCTCCAACCATCTGATATCAACAATTCACAGTGCACCATGATGGCGAGCCATCAAGTTTGATGGTCGCCGCATTGCAAACTTGACTGATAGGATTGAATTTGCACCAAAGATAGGACTAGACACCAATTTCGCCAGTGATATATGTCTCATTTCCCATTAACTGAAAGATATGCAAGTGAAAAGCCATAGGTTGGCACAAGAAGCATCCAGAGAAGATAGGACTTCAGGTAAACATAGAGAAAAAAGAGGGGATGAAGATTCCTGGCCAACAGCAACAGCAACATTAACAGGCAACAATCAGCATAAATGGGGGAAGTCTGAAAGAAGCAACTTCCTTCACCTACCCTCTAACCTGGGAAGCATCGTTTCAACTACAGGCCGACGGAACTGATAAAGACATTAATGTGAGGATCGAGAAATCATGTAAAGCATTCATTTCTCTCAAGTCTGTCTATGGAGATCAACAGCACTCAGCAAGAAAAATAAGATCCGGATTTTAAACTGTAATGTGAAGTCAGTGCTACTATACGGATGGATCAAATATTTGGCGCCGCTCGCATCACGAAAGGCACTTTGAACAAACTGCAGAATTTCGTCAACAGTTGTCTTCGCCCAATACTCAGAATCAGATGGCTGGTCAGAGAAGATCAGCAACAGGATGAGATCTCTGGCAATGAACGAACCAACCTAGCAGAAACTGAATGTGCAAAAATATGCAGGAAGAAATGGTGGTGGATTGGCTATTCTCTGAGAAAACAAACCATCCAGTGACATCACATGCCAGGCCATCGCTCGAGTGGAACCCCAATGAGAAGCGGAGAGTTGGTCGTCAGTGTGAAGGTGTAGTGACATGCAGAGGAGATGAGAGCATGTGGGCAGACGTGGAGCCAGGTGAAAACGTTGGCGGAGAACCAAACGCAATGGAGATGTGCAGCGAAATCCCTATGTTCCTCTAGGAACCAAAGGAAACAATAATAACCATAATAATAATTTCCTACCGCATACTGGACTGCGCTTCACTAGTTACATGTAATGATAAATAAATCTTCGAATTCGTAAACTTAAGAATCACATTTAAACAAAGTCTTTAGTTAAACACTTTAAATAAATCTAAGTTGTTCTAATTTTAAGGCCGTTAATTATTGCCAACGATGAATATTGTTACAACCATATAGTACAAATAGTTTATGTCTTGTCTTCCGGTGTTGACAAGCTTCCGAAGTACAATAAATAATCATTATTACTTAATCTGTCGGTAGAAACAATAACCTTGTAAAAAACAATCGAATGTGTTCCTCCTATTTCCGACAGCATTTGTATAAATATATAGATTCAGGATGTATAAATTAATCAGGAAGTTTCACCATTATTTGATAGGAATTAATTGCATTTATTTTTGGTATACACATTTAAATGTCCTTGTTTCTTAATGCATAATAGCAATAAGTTGTTTTAACCAGAAACTTACCAAGATTTTTTCAAATTCAATTCGATCAGCATTTCTTGTAGTAATAATATTTCCTACTTGGCCTGTAAAAAATAAAAAAATCAGAAAATATGTTTATATATACAAATATGTATGTATTTCAGTACTATAGTAAGCTACGGTAGAGGCACACCCTGCTTCAGGTTTATACTAATATATGTGTAAAACTTGGACAGTTTGGTTGTGTGTGATTTTGAATTAATTAGTTTATCGGGTGTACCATTCAACGAAACAATATCCCTGACAGGAGTAATTATATTTATGGATGGATGGGAAAACTTAGCGATTAAAACATTCTGTTCCAACCCCTTAGTGTGGTGGAGGTTTGTAGATGACACATTGCTGATACTTAGAACACAGGGCATAAATAGAGTTTTCGGACACAAACACTCAAAGGTAGAGGCGATTCAATTCACTTGTGAATTGGAAAGTTGGTGAGGGGAGGAGTTCCCACTGTTATATTGTAGCAATAAAAGGCAGAAAGATGGAAAGATAAACACTCGTTTTTACAGAAACAATTAAACCAGTATTGGGATGTCGGTTCATCCTACCCAATGTCAGCAAAAGTAAGATTGGTGAAATGTCTAAGTAAGAAGGCCAAAAAACTAAATTTTTTAAAGGAATATCTATGACAAAAATTTAGGCATACAACAGAAGCTTTAAATCGTTACCCTAGTTGCCCTAATAAATTAATCAGGAAGTATGTAAGAAGATGTGAAATTAAAATCCGTAATAGTGATAGTACTAATACCGATAGTGATAATAATAAATATGGCGATATGCATGACTAACACTAACGCAGTGATGACAGAACCAACAGTAAGGAGTTTCAGTCATGAGTAGTACTTCTTTGCAGAGAAGGTACCATGAAGAACTGACGTAGCATTTTTAACAATGACATTCAAACAAGCACAATTAGTAACTAGCTGTATCAGTTGAAGGATCCTGTGGAGCCAATTAGACAAGACACCTTAGTTGGTTTAATAGTCTGGAATGATTTTCAGGTCAAATACGTGGGTCAGAATGGTAGAAAGGGATCAATAGGACTAGTGGAGCACAAAAACCTGGCAAAATCTAGATCGGTTGACCCTAATAGGATAAGAAATCTTGAGAATAGTTCAATTATAACAAAATATGAAATTGCACACAATCATGCAATAGGATGACATAAGATGACAAATTCTGAAATCTTATATAAGTGTGTAGCAGTGGCGGCCTGCTTAAACCTTCGGCTACCAAAAGCTTCCATCTCTCTATGGCATATATTTTCTCTCATTCGGTTTGTTTTAATCAATTATCATATGACCTCAAATGGTATTATCTACTCTTGTGTATATTTAAAATGTTTAAATGTTCTAATTCTCGAGTTCCTACTACACGTGAGGAAAGGCCTGATTGTGGGTAGCAATGTGTTCCAATACATGAAATAACTGTTCTTCATTTATGTCCATGGGTCTAAGAATGTACCTCTGAACATCTTACAAGATATCGTCGATTTCTGGAAGGAGACAAATCAGAGAGCTCAGAGACTATTGTGTCAAAGGATATACTGTTAATATTTTACTTGAAGATATAGGAGGAGGAGGAAATGTCATGCAACAAACTCCTCTGAAAGTTCTATACAACATATAAATACTGTCCAGAACAAAGATATTATTATTGTATAACAGAGTGGAGGAAGAGGTTGATAACTGAGAATGCGTGTAACTGTAGTTGTTCAGCATCTGTACTGGACATATTGGGGATCATACTACGCCTAAGACAAATACGAAAGGATAAAGAAGACTACAATACGAAAATTTTGAAGTTGTGTGTTTAACAATGAGGATATAATTATGAATCGCAATAATTTGTGTTCAAAACTTCATCCAGTTAATAATACTGTTACATTGTGTAATATATACAGCATATTAGATGTTTGGAGGGGATCGGCGGGAATCCCAACCTGATCTAGGTTTCGTGCTAGTTGGCACTCACTAGTCAGCAAGGAGTATTTGCAACATTGAAGGAATGTATTTCGCTTCTGAGATTTGAACCCATTTCACCCAGTGTTGCAGTCGGTTGGAGATGTTACCACTGAGCTATTCGCACTCGCGATTGACCTCCTGTAGGACTGTAGTGGATACTTTGATTGGACACTAGTAACTAGTGTGATGTGTCTAGTCATTTGCTTGGTGCAGACTGAATCCTATCAGGGTGACGCGAATTCAAATCTGAGAAGGAGTGACATGAATTCCTTCGAGGTTGCAGATACGCCTTGTTGACTTATGAGTGCCAGCCAGCACGAGCCCTAGTTCCGTTTGGGCTTCTTGCTGATTGCCTCCAACCATCTAATATCATCAAATCAATGTACACCGTGATGGCGAGCCAACTAGCTTGATGGTGGCCATTTGCCAGCCTAAATGATAAAATTCTTTTTGCACCAAACAGAGGACTAGACACACCACACTAGTTACTAGTGTCCTAGCTGGTAGGATTCAACATAGAACTTGGCACCGAAGTGCAGCAGTTCCAGGTGCCACGTTCCAAATAGCACACAAAGGTAGACAAGAAAATGAGTGAAGAGAATCAATAGAGTTTTGACAAGTATAAGAGTGAAACAGAATGAGTAATGGTAGAAAGGAATATGAAAGATTACAGAGACTGAATACATCTGCGTAAGCCATTGACAACGATTTTGACCCATGTCACCTATTGTCTCCAGCCATTGATTCTTAGAGTTTCGAGGGCGGGCCCCAACCCGGAAGTCTGCATCTCCCTACCTTACTGACTCAGTTTAACTGTCAGGGGTTTCATGGATTGATGAGGCCATGTTTTTGTTTGGCCACCACTTACTCTTTTCCAACCTGCACCTATATCAGCTAGTAATGCCCGTCTGGGGAGGCGATGGTTAGGCATGCGCAGCACGTGACCTAACCATCTCAATCTATGTAACTTTATAGCCTCTTCGATTGATTTTCCCTCTTTGCCCAACACTACGCCTAACGTCAACATTACTTACCTTATTATACCACCTAACGTGAGAAGGAAATCGTAAACATCTATGATCAAAAACGGTCAACCTTTTCATGTCTTCAACTCGTAATGGTACTAGTGTCCTATCAAAATATATACAGAATAAACAGGATACTGCAGTATGCAGTACACTGAACACCTAACGAGATTTAAAGCTACGTGTTCAGTTTTCTTTCTGTTAATTCCTTTTGGTACTTTCTCATTATTCAGTTTGTTGTCCTTCAGCCCAATCATTTAAATGAATAGGCATTTATTATTATTACTTTTAGTTTAGGAGGTTTTTTGAAAATGGAAATCATTTTTGAAAAGAGGCGAAAATTCTTTTTAACATTTTGCCATGTTTTTTAATTTAGTATGACTGGCAAGTTGTTCAAATAATTCGCCACGTTTAAATGTCCTCAGAAGTTTAAAGTTATGCAACAGGCATTTTTTGTCACATCTTTCACATGTTGTACTTTTACGAATTTTTTAACAACCTGATTATTATCTACAGTCTTTGTCTACTAAAATAATTATATGTTAGTGGTTATTTATTTGAACGAGTTTACTAAAATAAGTTGAAGCTTTTTGTGTGGAAAAAGTGTGATGAAGTAGAGCAAAAACAAATTTTGAACAATCTGACCAAATTCAACAAACAGAACATTAAGGTGACTGAAGACCAGTAAGCACGATAATTGACACTTTGCTTAGTGTATTCTCCTGTAAGAATCAACATCTTGCCAGGTGTATAAGCATCCGTAAAAGTAGGTTTCATCGCCGGCTCTCTGTGTGTGCACAAAAATAAATCTATTGTCAACACGTAACCTGACTTAATGATTCTTGTTTGATTTTATGACTAAAAGTAGTGTCAGTTAGTATGTGTCCTCCTTGATTCTCAATCCCTTCCTTTATTTTGTTCATCTTATTTTATTGATACAAATATAAAAATTGACCACTGTGGTGGTAGAGTATAACTCCATTATGGATAAGATTTTATGTTGATAAATCACACAGTGTGTTGTACAGTAATATTTACTCATGACAACGTTTCAAGCACAAATTATTGCTAATAATCCTATGAAGTCAATCACATAACTTTCTTGCTTCATTTATATACATGAGTAAAAACTGATGATTAGACATTTGAATGCAAATCAGTCTAAGATAAAGCACATTCGGAAATAATATTATTAATGTTATCAATCGAATACAATAAGATGGGAAATAAGATGTTTTTATAGTAAAATAAATAAATAACTTGTTAGAATGTTATAGTGTGAATTGAATGGATACATTTTAACATTATTTATTATAGTCTGATTTGACTGGTGGCAATAATATCTTCCACATCTCTGGTATTTGAGTTGAGTCACTTCTAATGCATGTGTTATTTTGAGTGTAGACTAGACGAACCAGGATTCAGAAATCAATCTCTCTCTCTGCCTACCTATATTACTTTTTATAATTTTGACTCTGTACCACCCACCCTGTTGTGTGGTTGTGTGTTAATGCATGCAGTGCAATTGCTGAGGTTTCCTCTAAATTACTTATCTTTGTGGGACTAATCATTCTAACCTTAGCTAAATTCTTATGTTCTGATAATCTCCCTACTCCTGCCTGATCTATTAGTTTGACCTATGTAGTTGACTTTACTCACAGTCAATGCAAAGTATTTTGTAAATTATATTATATTATTTTGTTTAATTGGATCAACAGACAGAGTCCTTCAGCCTGCAGAGCTTGTGCTACCTGAGTGAGTCTGTAAGTTTGAATGCCACCGTAATTCCTGCTTTGTTGAGAATCCTACGTAGAGATTCAGATGTCCCCTCCTTATATGGTAAAACTACTGTAGATGCCTAATATTCTCTTTTATTTTTGTTATCATTATTAGTTTCACTATTATTTTTATTTCACTTTCGACCTTTTTGATATTCCCAATGAAATTTATAGGATTGTCAGTTATTTAACATCAGCCCTTCTTCCATCGGTATTATTTCATCATTTAGCTCTTTTTTTGTACTATTTAGTTCTGTCTGTTAGACACTTTACT